TCTCTAAATAAAACTACCAAACGCATTTTCATAAATAATTCAAAAATGAAACTAAAAACGTTTTCATTTTTATTTTCGTACAGAAAACAAAAACGTTTTGGAATCAATTCTAAACGCACCCATATTTTCCCTTTTTCTTTTCTGTATTAAAAGATCCTTTCTTGTTTGTCTGCATAATTGCCAAGTTAGTACATCATTTCCCTTCTGCATAATTGCCAACTTAAAAATCCTTTTTTTTTTTTCCTGATCTAAATTCTTAATGGCCAAGTTAAAAGTTGAAGTGAAAAACAATATTTACAAAGTATATATGTTGAAGTAAGCCCTATTTGTTTCTAAAATTCTTTAATCTTCAATTTCAACAAGTAAATCAAAAGAAGCTTTTTTTCTCTTTTTTGATGATGTAACAAGTCTAATTTATTATAATACATCCTTATATATTATTAAACAAGTATGAAACTTTTAGTAAGTACGTGAGATATGAATACTAGTGCATTTGAATATATAATCAATAATTAATAATATCAAACTTTCTATCCTTACTTTGTTATAGTTTGATTATTAAGATTTTTTTCCCCTGAATAACCGCCTTCTCTAAAATAAATATTGAATTACCGTAAAAAATTAAATAATTGATCATTCTCTAAGTTTTGCCTTGAAATCTATAAACTATCTGTGTACTATATATATAATAGATCAAGGATGAATAAGCCAACTTTCTTTCGGGTCTCTCATGTTTTTAATACTAAAAGAGATAGGACTTGTTCTTTTAGAGTTTAATTTGAGTATAATTTTTGAGTTGAATTTGAAAATAACTTGAGTTAAACTTGTAACTTGAGTTTGTGTTTGGTTGTGTACATTTGAGTTATGGTTTGAGATAAGAATCTTTTTGAGTTTGTGTTTGAGTGAGTCAAAACTTGAATTTGTATTTAGATAGTATTTTAATAAAAACTCAATGCTGATGAAAAATTTAAATAGGGTATATAGGTCGGGTTTTATTCGTCTTTTCGTTGTCAACGCATAGAAAAAAAAATCATCTCAATCAGAATTAAAACGAAAAAGTTATAACATTTTTAAAAATAGAAAAAATACTGTTCATTAATTTGAGTTTGAGTTTCTGAACTCGAGTTGAAGAGAAAACTTGAACTCGAGTTTTAGTCTTAAACTTGAGTTTAAACTCGAATTTAAACTTAAAAGAACATAAACTCAAATAAAATTATAACTCAAGTTATATTTTTTTGAGATTTTTACTCAAAAAAATAAGTCCTATAAAATTTCAGAGTGTCGATTGTGATGGGTGAACCATAGCTTTTTTGTCTTTTCTCATTTTTGCCCCTCTTTGTCAAAAGGGAAATAGAAGAAAGCTATATATCCTCTTTGTTTTATCTTTTATGCATTTTTATAAAATCTGTTAAATCTTTTATTTATAAAAATGGCAAGTTGAAGAGGGTGAATATGGTTGCCAAACAGAATCCAAACTCTAATGGCAAGCGCCCAAAGTCCAAACAGGCAACACAACTTGAAGCCTTGCGGCGCAGAAATATTTAACATATGCACCGCAGATATTATATATACGTGAGATTTTTTAATACGGTTGACGTATTAATAAATTATATATTTTTAATTATTAAAATTGTGTATTTTTTAATTTTTATGTAATTTTATATAAATTTAATAAATATAAAATTTAACTTACTAATGACGTATTAAAAAAAATTTCTATACGAAAAAAGTATATATATATATATATATATCTATACCAACATTTAGATGTTGACGTTGTTGTTTTGCTTCTACTAATGGCGTAAGCTTTGCTGATCCTAAAGTACCAATCATATCGTAATCTCAAACGTAAGAGTCATAACTATTGCCAATCCGACTTTTATCTCCATTTTTTCCTTTTCTAATTTCTAGCTATTCCAGCGTATGCTTATGTAGTCATTGCGACTGATGATATATCACCGTACGTGTCTTACCATAGAGAAAATGACTGTCACACAATAAAATTAAAATATCTAGTCTTATTTTAGTACGTCAGTTAAATCACATATAAATGATTACATCACTACTTTTCTTTCTTTTTAGAGGTTATTTTTCCTTTTTAATACTTTTATCCTTAAAATTAATTTCTCTTTAAGCAATTAACTCAGGAATACAAACTTTCATTTCTACACTGAGCCCAAAATAATTGTAAAGGAGAGGTAAAGAAAAATTAGTTGTATTTTCCATGAAAGAAGGTGTTACAGGAAATTAACTTTTAATCCCTCAGAATAAGCACAGGGTGTTCTTTATAAATGCTTTTTTTCTTTCTTTCTTTCTTTTGGTAGAAAGTTTTTGTTGATATAAGTGATTCATAGCATTTCGTGACCTTCTCCTCAAATATTGAGTACAGACTTGTGAAATCCACCACATTGGTTAAAATATAAGGTTATTGGCACAAATGGTCTCCAACTTATTGGGTTTGTTCTTTTGAAGTATAACTTGGGTGTAGTTTTTGAGTTGAATTTGAGTTGAAATTAAAACTTGAATAAAGTTGAGTAAAATTGAATAAAGTTAAAATTTAAAAGAACGTGAACTTGAATAAAGTTAAAACTTGAGTTGTCTTTTTTTGAGTTTTTTGGACAAAAGAACATGCCCTTAATAAGTAACAGTTTGGTCTTTAATTTTTTTTTTTAACAAATCGACACCCAACCTTTTAAAACAAGTATAATCTGATCATTTCCGTCAAGATCTATCTAAAAATTAACAGCTAAATACACGTGACCACCCATATGACTTAAATTGTTGGGATATATGTGTAAAAACACTTATACCTGGAATTGGGGCTGATTCTTACGTTTAAAAATTCTAGGGTTTGTGTAACTTTTGTTTTGATTTAGGGGCTGCAATGGCTGCAAAAATTTTTCTTCAGAAATCACAAATCCACAAATTGCTCCCTTTTCCTCCCAAAACCCTAGCATCCCCCTCCATATTACCACGGCTCTCAACCGCATCTCCACTGGGAACTCTCCGAAAACTGCAATGGCAAAAAAGGCGACGGCTACAAAGCCCAAAAAGGGAAAGAAAAACTCACCAATGAGAACAAAGAAATTGTCTCGTACAAAGGAGGCGCACTCCAACAAAAAGCAGTGAATGTAGGATCCGTCCAAAAGAATCATAAAAACATTAAAGGACCACAACAACAACAACAACAAAAAGGAAAGTAAAAAAGAAAGGCAATGTCAAAAGAAAAGTAAAAAAGCTTATGGATGAAGTTGAAAAAGTAATCAATGGTTGTGAGAAGAGTTATGATGGTGCTCGGAAAATGATGACGGTGGAGATGGTGAACGGTGGATGTTGGTTGTTGTGGTCTTGGTGACGGTGGCCGTAATGGTGGTGGTGGTTTGGTGGAAATGATGGTGGGTGATGAATTTGTTTTTTTTTTTTTTTTTTTTTTGAGGCCTTTAAGTCATTTTAGTAAAAAAGATGGTCACATGATGAGTTATGTGTATTCTCTCGTTAGTTTTTGGATAAATTTTAACAGAAATGATCTGATTATACATGCTTTAAAAGGTTAGGGATCGATTTATAAAAAGAAAATTAAAGACTCAATTATCACTTACTAAATAGATTAAAGATTATTTGTGCTAATAACCCTAAAATATATAATACTAAGTATGTACGATAAAGTGCGCCATTATTAGGTCTTAGATTACACATTTTTGCACTTTCAACTCGTCAATCTTTTTTCTTGTCATATAAATCATCGCACTAGGATCTAGTGGAATCTGGATACTTTCATTTATTTATTATTGGATAATTTGTTTACTCTTCTTCACTTTTTCGTTTTCATATTCAATAGATTGGGGTTAGAGTTCTAAGTACTAATCTAACTCTCTTGGCTTAATATAGGAAGACTTTCTAGTACGTCTAACGTGTTGATAAATTATATTTTTTTAACTGTTAGATCTGTATATTTTTTAATTTTTATATAATTTTATGCGTATGTGACGAATAAAAAACTTATCATATCAGTTATTGGGGTACCGGAGAAGGTCTCATATATATGTATTATGTATTATTTTCAAATTTTTTGGATAAATTATTTTCAAATAATTGATTTTTTTTTTAATCTTGAGATGGACAAATGAGATTATAATTTCTTTTTATTTTCTTTTTCCTGTATGTGGCCATATAATGACTTTTAAGACCACCATAGACCAATTCAGCAAAAACCAGCTAACCACCACAAGAGAGTCCTACCAAAAGAGGAAAAAGAGAAAAAGAAAAAAAAAAAAACTCATTTGGTATTATTTTGTTTTGACCTTTAAAATTTGGACAGAAATACTCATGCATGTGAGCTGGTTTGAAACGCAAAAATTCCATATGACAGTAGAGAACAAAATACAAAAGTTCCATGTGACAATAGAGTATATCATCAAATGTGCCGTGAATTTTAATACTTATTAAATTTAAGAGTAATCTTTCACAAAATTTAAAAACGATAAATTTTTATGCCTCCGATGTCAACATACTCTCAAATTTAAAAATGTATATATTATGCCTCCGATGTATAATAGTCTCTAAATTCATTCCTCGAATTTTAAAATATATTAATTTTAAACATACAAGTATGTGCGCACCTGAAGAGGTTAATTTTTTTTAATCTTTTGTATTCTTACTTTTGAGCAACTATTCTATAGGAAAGCATTTATTTACCGGACACATTATCAGTTTAAATATTCATTTAACTAATTTTTTAATTTTAACTGTAAATTTTTTAAAAATTCTTTAAAAGTGACCTTTTATAATTTTACCGGACACATTATCAGTTTCTAATAGAAAAAAAAAAAAGTAACTTTAGATTTTAAAAAAGACTACCAAACGCAGCCTGGGAGAGCGTAAAAAATAAATGGGAAAAAAGTAATGGAAAGAATATTCTTTGTTACCCGGCCAACCCAGTCTCTCTCTCTCTCTCTATAAAAGACGACTCACATTTCCCACAGAAAACACGCTCTCTATTGCAAGACATCACTATTGAAAAAGAAAAGCTTATCTCTCTTTTAACTTCACATCAATTGAGCTACCCCCACCTGAAGAAGAGGCAGAGGAAGCAAAACCACTCTTTTCTTCTCTTTCATTTCAGTTGGGTTTTGTGTTTGGCTAGAAGGAAAATCTCCGAGAAAATGTGGCTGGTTTATGTATGCGAGGAGGAAGAAAGAGAGCTTGGGAGGCAGCAAGCGCCGGGATCATGCCCTCACTGCGGTGGGAAGGTGGAAGCCATGGATGTCGAGACTCAGTGGAAGTTCTGCTTTCTTCCCATGTGCTTCAAGATCAAAAGAAAGCTCTTCTGTACTCTCTGTTCTAGACGTCTCGTCTTGTCTTACTAGCTTATTATTTTGCTTCAAATTAAACAATATTATTGATCAAATCCCAAATGGGTTTTCTTCTTTTCTTTTTCTTTTTTTCTTTTCTTTTTTTGGGGGGGATCATTTTTATTGTTGAATATTGTCTGATCTGGTCTGTAGATCTGCTCTTTAATTTCTGATGTGGATTTTGGTTCTTTTTAAATAATTCTTGTATAGTAAAATAGATCATGAGGATGTTCTTTCAGGCAAAATCAAAAGGGATTTTATCAGCCTTGTACATACAAATCATGTGATTGAAAGTTTGTTAATTTCTTGTTAAAGTTTGGGTCTTTTGATAATTTGTAGTTAATTCCTTGTTAAGAAAAATTAATCTTTTCTTTTCTTGATTGTTTTCTTCTCTTTCATTTTCTTTTGTTTTTGGGTACGAATTAGCCCGTTCAATGAATTTTATTAGAATAAAAAGTTTTTATTAACAGGCACATTTATTTTTTTTATTATAATTTTTTTACATAAAATTACATCTGAACAAGAGTTAAAAATTGGAATCAACAAAACGGGCTAAGAGCTAGTGTTGAAAGACTCTGGTAATACGAGAAAACGGGCTAAGAGAAAGTGTTGAAAGACTGGTAATAAGAGCGAGTGTTGAAAGACTCTGATAATAATCTGCAGATGAGGATGCACATCTGTCCAGGCAAAGCTAGTTTTTGGTTACGTGTAAGATTTGTTTGTTTATTATTTTGTCTGAATATCTGAATAATAAAAAACTATATATTTCTGGTTCCATAATTTATTGGCTCAGGAAACAAATCAAAATTGAATAATTTTGCATCTAGATTTCTCTCATTCCTCCCGTGCGTGGTTTGTTTTTGCAAAATTAATAAGGAGAACCAAAAAAAAAAAAAACCCCTCCTTAAAAAGTGAGATTAGAAGAGGTACTTTTTAAGTTTATATATATATATATATATATAATGGTTTTTTTTTTGTCCTCTGGTTTTCGCTGTAAGTTTTGTTTTCTTCCTAATATTTTATGCCATATGGACGAAAACTAATGAATAATGTCCACATTCATAATATCGAAAAAAATAAGGATTTAAGTTTAAAATTTAAATTTTTTTATAATAAAAAATTTTTAAAAATAATCACATTTAATTTTTTTATTAAGTAAAAAATTTTCAAACATCATTTTAACTAAAGCCATATATATTATTGAGAAAGATTACGATGGATTTCGGAATCAAGAACCCCCGACCGTACAGAAGAAAATTAACTTCAACATTCCTCTCATTCAATTCTAGAAAAGGAAACAGATTTAAAATTTCCAAATGCCAAGAAAAAAGCATTTGTTAACTGACAACTGGACTAAGAAATAATCTACCTTATGAACAGGTTATTATCAAGTGTCAGTTCCAGCAAAAAGTGTTTGCAAGCTCTAATTTCATTTTGCTGCTCTATCTACATTTTATCCATTAAAAAAATGCTAACAAATAAACCCTTATGACTTGAAACCAATATAGATAAGTTTGTGCCAAAATGTATCCGGGGCAAACAAATATGTAAGTACTAGTCAAAAAGTTAAAAAATTTTATAGTATAGGATTAATTTATATATATATATCTATATATAGAGAGAGTTAAAAGTTTCTTACAATGTATTATAGTTTTTGTTTTCTTTTTTTCTCTTGTTCTTTTTAACTACAAAATACAAATTTTTTTAAAAATTAATAATAATAATTAAGGAAGTTGAAAATCTTTAATTATATGTAGTGTAGATCAAAAGATTTAAAAGTAATTATATTATCTGGTCCTTGGGCGTTTCTGGGTGGGTTTGTTGCCTTTGGTTTTGAACTGAATTGATTAAAGATTGTTAAGATATGTATTCAAAATGATAAATGTTGATTTTTATTGATAATTGATATAAATTAGTAAATATGTCTTACATTGTGGTCAATCTTTTTGAATCTTGTGTTTTTGGATATATTGTTGTGTCAACTGATATTTGTGGTAGTGGTATTGAAAGATAGACATCTTTAAATATTTTTGAAATAATTGTAGTTATTTGTGCTCCCTTTTGTTGAAAATAAACTTGCAAGATTTTTATTTGTCTTTTTAACTGAACAATGATTGGTGGAATTACAAATAGATTAATAAAGCTTTCATCAATTGTTAATGTTCATTAATTGTTAATGTAGAGCATGATTTTTGATCAATGCTTGTTCTTCTCTTCCAACCACTGAGGTAATTTCTAGTTTAATTTATTTAAAAAGGTGTGACTTTATTTTATTTTAGTTTATTTTTATTTAATTTTATTTTTCATTTAAATAATTTATACTATTATCATTTGAGAGGCTTTAAAAATTTGATGCAAAATGATATTAAAATGGATAAAATCAGACCACAAATCAACACCTTTCTTTTTTAATGTTTTTCGTTTTTAGTCTTTGTTTAGTTTTAGTCTCAAATTCGCGTGACACGCGCATGATTAATTTAAAATAATGGCTAACACAAATTGTTTTAAAAAGAAGAGAAGTAAAAAAGATGACATAAAATGAAAATAATAAAGGAGGAAAATCTTAAGCAAAGAGAGAGAGAAAATAATCTAACTTATTTCGTTGTGTTTTAAATTAATTATATTTTATTTTGTTTATTTTTTATTTAATTTGGTGTTATTTGATTTTAATTTAGCGTATTTTTATTTAATTTTATTGTATTATTTATGGTATTTTTATTAAAGTAATATAAAAAATTTATCACAAAACGGTGGTAAAACGGACAAAATTAAACTCCAAATCAATTCAAAATAGTAAATAACTATAATAAAGAATAAAAATCTAAAAAATAAACTGTAAATGGTTTGAAACCGTCTGATCAAAAATTTCGACAGCTGTAATTCGCGTGTGAAAAGCACACACAAGAGAAGCTCGTTCAGTGGGGAAAGATGACAACTTCGTAGTGGTGGGCCCAACCACTTTTTCCTTTAGTTAGCCGAGCGTCGACATGTGGCAATCCTAGAACGAAAGATGCAAAAACCCATGCGCAGGGAAGGGAAAAGAGAAGAAAAAAAGGGTAAAATTATCAATTCACACTCAAAGGACAGGAGACAAAATCAGAATTTTAAGAATGTTACTATACAATGAACAGTAAATTGTGAGTGTGTGAATAGTGCACATTTCCTTTTCTTTGGTGTATATATAATGTGTCACATAAAGAATAAAAGAAAAAGTTGTTGTCATGAGATTCCATGTCAAGTACCAAAATAGTTGAGCTAGCATAGAGCAGGCCCAGTCATTGTTAGTCCGGGCCCGGGCTCAGCCTGTCTTTAACCTTCAAATCAAGCCGGACTAAAGTCGAGTCTAAAGGTTTATTCAGACCGGACAAACGTCCTCTTTTTAAATATAGTTTTTTTAAAATACCTTACAAAATTTTGAGCCGAGTTGGGCGTCCCTCTCTTACCAAGTGGCACAAACTTTTACCTCTAAGCTAGCATTGCTAATTACTTGCTTTAAACTCTCGATTTAAATAATTTTTAGGCCAAACAATTGTAGCCCCACTCTTCTTACTAATTACTAATTAGTAAGACTTCTTAAAGTTAGCATTTGTAGTCCGAGCGCCACCTGTTGGGTTACTCGGATGATCGACAGTTACCTACGCGACTATGCCGGAGATTGAGAAGATGGTCACTAATTAAATTCTTATAGAATGAGGATACATCTAAATAGAAATAATTCAAGTATAATACATCTAAATAGAGCACAAAATGGACCCACTCTTACTAATTCTCCTAATGAATTTTTATCTAAATTAAATATGTAAGAGCATATATAAGTAGGATAATATGGTTTTCAATTTATTTAATTTTTGAAACAATCATGGAAAGAAATAAAGGCATTAATGTCGTGGGATTTTGGAATATATCTTTTAAGTTCTCTTTCTCTCTCTCTCTAACCTTTCTTTGAGGCATATTCCGACGATTGTTTGAAAATAGCGAGCAAGATAATAAAGACATCATGCAATTTTTGAAAAAAAATACACATTTAATTATAGGATGATTTTTTGTTTTGTTTTGTTTTGTTTTGTTTTTTTTTTTGTTTTTTTTGGTGAGGGTAAAAACCGCTGAAAATGAATGCATTGTTGAGGTGAAATACAGCGACATGAAAACCCTTGTCAGCTAAAGATTGAAAATCTAAAGTCTAATAATAGACAAATTGAAAGTGAAAATTTCTGAAAAATGAACGTGGTCCAGAAGCATTCTGTGTGTATTATTTAGGTAAAACATAGCGACACAGCAATGTTATATTTCCATCATAAAAACAGTCTTTATAAATATCACATGCCTTTCAAAACATAATATATATATATATCTACATGATAGATATATTTTTTAGCATTATTGATCATTATACAGTTATTACTTATCTATAAATGATGATAGTATATATACAAACTGTCACATGATATAGGAAAACTTTTCCTTTTGTCATGTGAAAATTCTTTTACTCATAAGTACATGTATGATGATCCAGGACTTTATTTATTTATTTATTTTCTAACAATCTCCAATTTGTTTGGTTGGGGCAACTAGTAATTAATAATTATTAGGGAACAATTGTCATTAGTGGCTCGAGACTTCTAGTCCTTCTCATTAAGCATAATTAATTAAGATCGGACCGACAATAACATTGCTCATATTTTGAGTCATTGAATCCTTGCGAAATCTGTTTTCTTGTCTGGGATATTGTCTGTCTTCCCTTTGTTAAGTTTCAGTGGCTTAAGCAGCTTTCTACTTCTTTTGGTTGGTTAATTTGCTTTGGACAACCTCTTTGCTTTGTTTCTTTAAATATAGGTATATACTAGTTTAAACGGTGCGCGGGTAAGAATAAAAAATATATTTATTAGGGTTTCATTTAGAGCAATAAAAAAATATATAATAGGACAAAATAATAAGGATGAAAAAAGGAAAAGAAAAAAACAAGAAGAGAGAGAGAGAGAAAAAAACGATTTGTTTTTTTTCTTTTTTTAAAACTCACTAACGATATATTTTATCAGGGAACATGATTTAAAAAAGAAAAAATAGGTAAGAATATGTATGAGAAAAAATCATTTAAATAGAGAATTAAAAAGAAATATATTTATGAAAGTCATTTTAGAGAAAAGAAAAAAGTATAAAAGTGAAAAAGATAAGAATGTAAAAGGGGTAAGAAAAAAT